TAACATAGTGTTGCTTTCCTATCGAGAATGAACCTCATTTTCAATTTTTTCTGTCCCCAGCACAACAAACTAGATTAGGAATCGGGCTCTGCGTGTCTAATGGTAACATGATCACTCGGTAACAAAGAGGAGTGCTAATCGGTCACAGAACAGCTGTTTTTTTTTCAGGCCATATCTCCCAAATAACCCTTACTGTATTTATGGTGTCAAAAGATTAAATTCATTTAGATAACTTTATATTAAATAGGTCTACAAACCATCAGCATATTTCAAATAATAAGGTCGTTAAAAAGGGCGTATATTGCCTACTTATTCGATACATAGTAATATTCTCGATTTGAAGTATGCGTTATCTACTTGAACTTCACTATAAATTTGACTTTGGTGAAGCCGGAATTTTGCTAAAAGTGACATCAGCTCTGTGACTCAATGACATCAGCTTCTTTATGGCAAGTGGCAGTTTCGTCGCTTGACACATATGACCTGGTTTTAAATTTCGCCGAAGGAGCTGATGGGGTCTATGAAAAGTTCAAACCGCATTCATTTTGGATGAGAAATCCTTCTGGGATATAAGGCCGTGCGAGCATCAAGGGCATCAATTTATTAATGGAAATTCTAGCATTGGTTTTTATTTAACCTTAAACGATCAAGGGCGATCTTTTGGTCTAAATCTAATCACTTGATACGAACCCTTTTTTTATCGAGTGTCTCAAAAATTTCGACTTGAGGAACTGCTTGCTTCAACGTTATTTCAATTTCGCTTGTTCATACAGTTTGTAGAGGACTTTTATGCCTCCAAGCTTTCTGACATTTTCCCTTTTATATTGCTTCGCGTTCGAATCGTAGTTTTATCAGCCAAATTTAGAATAAGTTCATCCAAAATAGGTAAAAATTTTATGATTAAATATTTGTGCACAATTATTGTTTCTCTGGTTAACTTAATAGTATTACCGGATATTTTCGCCAAATTTTAAGCAAGTTTTTAATTTAAATGATGAACTCATCCATGCTACTACCTTTCTATGAAGAAGCCTTGCTAACGCAATTCAGATAAACTATAATCTTCAAATAGAATTTACCCGATGACTTAATATCTATAATTTTTATTCAAAATAACCACTTAGAACTGTTTATGATCTATTACGGAGATTGGTCGTTGATTTGAGATGGTGCTAACTGTCCTTGTTTACTGAGAACACAATCAAGCATAATTCGGCTGTCGGGCTCACGTCGGGCTCACTAGTGTTGGTTTCTAAGGTCGTGGACTGTCTCCAAAAATATTAAATGCTTGCCCTCTACAACCCCAAGGATGGAGGCCCCGAAACGAAGAGAGAAAATCAACGGTGTCACTAATTGTCCTATTTTAAAACGGCCGAATACATTATGGGGGAGCTGACAATAGAATTACATTACTTAAAAGATGGCACTAAATATAACATTCTAAAACCCGCAGGCCACGGCGGAGAGAAGGAAAAGAACGTCACCGATTTAAATAGAATGTTAGCTACTTTATATACCCTTGCGTATTTTTCCACGTCGACTTCAGATTGGACGATGCGGTGCCAAGCTTTGATTACGTGACGCGAAATAAAGAGTTAAGATTAGTCACGCACTCACGTGATCTCTGCGCCTAGGGATGTTGATCCATGGCCACACATGGGAGGTAACAAAAACAAAATATTGAATCGGAAAAGTGTGAGAATAGGTCATTAGACTGGTAAGATTTTAGTGTGAGCGCTTATTTGTTTTATTTTATGTCTCAGCTAGGAATATGTATTGTAGTTTTAATAGCACGTTTGCCTTAAAGTACAAGAAGTACATTGGAATATGAAAGGCATGAAATTTAATAATTGCTTCAGCTGGAATTTAAAAAAATGGCTAGTGATGTAAGTGCCACGGAGGTTCTGGGAGAGAGCTGTCAATATTTTAAATGGTAATCCTTTCTTTATTCGCTCGCTTTGATAATATAATCTATTCCGTTTATGTAAGGTGAAAATACGTGGCCATCTTGCTACGGAACAAGAACGTATAATTTCAGCACTTGAAGCAGATATTGCAGAGTTGCATGCGGCACTAGCAGTTTCAAAACAACTTGAAGAGGGGAAACGGGCTGAAGCTGATCGGCTTGAAGAACGAATGATTCAGTTGGAGAAGGAAGCAGAGCAGAATCAGGCAACGATCAGAACGAACGAAAACAGTGAGTTTTATGGTACACCATTCATTATTAGATATAAGACTTTCATTCAGTTATATGTATATATGTTTTCTGTGTGAATAACTTAAAACTTGTTTCTAATTGAAGGAGTACCTTGTTTAATCGTAACCATAACCCAGCTATGGTGTGTACTTACTTATCTTTTTAATGCTAATTGAACCAACAAGCTAAA